GGTTTATAGGATCGTTCGGTTATATGGGATTTAACATGGGATTACAGCTTGAGTCTATGGCTATACTTTAACCTGGGTAATGTTAATCCTATGGAGCTTTTTCCATAGACTTAACATGGGCTAATGTTATCCTATGGGTAATGTTAATCCTATGGGAAATTTTGTCTATGGGAAAGCGAAATATGAAGGGAAAGGGTAGTTTTCTCCATGTTAATCCTATGGGACTAATGTTACGTCTATGGGAGAATGCTTTAACATGGGTTTCTATAGAATTACAACTTAAGTATATGGCATAAGGATAACATGGACAATGCTAAGTCTATGGCAATACTAAGTCTATAAGTAATGGTAAGTCTATGGCATAGGAATAACATGAGTAATGCTAAGTCTATGGGAGTGATGGTATTTCAATGGAGATATATTAAATGAATCTAACATAATAAATCGAACTGATTGTTGTCAAAAACACTTAAGATTCTCAAAATAACAATAGTAAAAATATTATAACAAAAGTATTGAAAAATTTAAAATCTTTTGATGCATTTCCCGAATTGTGGTTAACGTATAGCATCGCTGTGTGAACCTTGTTTTTGACTATTTAATTAAATGACTTTTAGGTGTGATATATAGTGAACAGCCGGAGGAAGAGGCGGCTTATGATAGCTTTGCCCCGAGTTATGAGATATTTGGTACTGGCGTTGAATGTCCTGAAAATGTGGATCTAATTAAAGAGTATTGCAATAAACATGGTTCAGCTGATAATACCACTAGTGGATTGTAAGTAGTAACTCTCTTATATAACAAACACCTTATTCATTACAGACCACATACGTAAGCAAACCCTTAATTGTATTTATAAATTTTGTCAAAAATTTCAGTGTTTTAGATCACTTTGAAAATCACACCCATATTCTAACATAATTAGTAAAGCATATAAATACATACATTTATAAGCAGTCAAATATGTTATGTAAAGTCAAACCATTAGAGTCAAAACCGTGCATATACTGTTGGTGTACACAACATTAAACAGTGTGTTATATTAAATAAATTTTTATATGTAAATTATTTGTATAAATTCACGATTGATTATATACCATTAAAGCACTTTATGACTGCTATTATTTGTTTACAATGAATACTTGCTGATTAATAAGCGTGTTGATTCAAAAACGAGGTTTAATTAACTTCAGCCCCGCCATCCCTCTAACCACTAATTGTCATGTGATATAAAGTGGTGTGGTCAAATATGCACATATAATTTTTAAGCACAATTCAGTATGAATAATGTGGTTTATAAGATCGTTCGGCTAATTCTATGGGTTTTAGCAATCCAATCAGTTTTAATAATTGAAAGCGCGCTCTTTATTGAGAAACCAGTTAAATGCTATTATGATCTCAGAATCTCTTGTCCCTTCACATTTGGTATTTTTATACATAATACTTTATGGTATAACAGTAATAAATGGGAACATATCTGGCTGTATGTAATACCCAGCAATATGTTCCCATTTATTACTTTTATACCATAAGGTATTATGTATAAAAAGGTACCAAATGTGAAGGGACAAGAGGTTCTGAGATTATAATATATTAAAAGGATTATTCAGTTTCAATAATTGTTAGCGCGCTCTGTGTTGACATGCTTAATATATTTGTCTAATATTTGTGAAGCAATCTATGGCAAGTCTATTGTACCGATATTAAATGTGTAGATAATGCCAATTTATTCTTTAAACAATACCCGAATTGTGGTTAACGTATAGCATCGCTGTATGTGAGTTGTTTTAATATGTGATATAAATATTACATAAAATATTTATTTAACAGTATTAAGAATAAAATATAAGTTGAGCACAAATACATAATGGTAAATCAAATACAGTAGATCTTTGTTTTATGACTTAACATTTTGTCATATAATACAATTGGTATCAATTAATAAATTGGGATTAGATTACTATATTTAAAACAAGAAAAAAATCAACTAGAAAAACTAATTCATACAAAAAATTTTTTTAAAAATCGACCTGGTTACAGCTTCCGGGTCATTGTGGCCTCGTTCAAATGGATCGCCTACCTTAAGCCAAAGCTACGGAACGATTCTGGAGAGTCCCAACATTGCTTACTGACATAATAAGTAATGCAAGCCAAAAAGCTAACGGATTTTGCAAACTGTCCGAGGACAAAATGGTGAAATACGCGCAGCTCACCAACGCCAAGTTGAACGAGACCAAACAACTGCGCGACCGTTTCCTTGGTTACTTGAACGACGCCGCTAACCAGACCAAGATTAACCTGCCCCAAGTTTTATGGTATTGGTTATATTTTATATTTACTTATACCACATCATTTTTTTAGTGGACTAGTGAGTCCCATACTGTCCACTCTGCAGATGTCTGACCAACATTGAATTGTAAATTAAATCAATTTTTAGTAATAGGGTCTCTAATTATTAATTATTTTATTTTATTTTTAACAAACAATATTGGTTACTAGTAGAAAGACTTTTGTCTTCAAAAAGACGGTATCTTATATGGAAAATACACTGTATTGTAATAAAACTAAATTAAATTAAAGATTAAATTAACATTTTGCTCATATTTCAAAAATATTTATAATCAAATATGCAATAATAATTGTGGTCAAGGTTTGGTCAAGGTGAATTTAGAAATTTTTTGTATTTTTCAAGGCGATAGCCGATCAGAGTTGGCAACCCTATTGGAAACGGCATACGAGGCCATTATGGACGCAGGTATGGGTAATACTTGATATACAATATCAACATTTTGTTTAGCAATTCTCTAAACTCTCATACATTGTAGGCATAAATCCAGACGAATTGCGGAGCAGTCGACGGGTCTGTGTATACGTCGGGACGACTGTCTACTCAAACATTGACGACATTAGAGAAGAGATACAGCCGGACGTTATGACATCGATAGATGCATTCACAATGACCAATACAACTATGGTCAACACAATGCTGGCCAACAGACTATCCTATGTGTTTGACTTCAAAGGCCCGTCGATGAGCATTGACACCGCCTGCTCGGCCTCATTGAGTGCCCTCCACGTGGCCGTCAATGACCTAAAATTGGGTAATTAAATACACCAATATAATTTAATTAAACTTAATTAAAATAGACTTTAAAATTAAAACAAAATAAATTACATTACTGGTATATAAGGATTTACATAATTACGTAAGCACTTGAGCTAATTAAGTAATTAAAACAATTTAGTTCTACCTATAGATTTAGTTCTCTCCCCGAAGGGTCAGTCCTGTCCTCTCGACGAGTCGGCCGAAGGTTTCGTGAAGGGAGAGGCCGTGTGTTGTGTACTCTTACAGCGCCGACAGTCGTTGCCAGTTCTTGAAGGCGACATTCCTCGCACCGGACGTCTCGACCAGACTTGCCGTCAAATACTATCAACAAACGGGTAATTGTGGATTGGTTTAGAGCACATTTGATTATAGTTAATGATTTTCCATGATGGTCTCTCTCTCTCTCTCTCTCTCTCTCTCTCATTTTCTATTAGCCAAACATTTGGTAAATTGATTATGTTAATAAGTGAACATGTAATTATTTTATGCCAGTTATATTGACAATAATGTACAGTATATGTACATGTCATTATATTTACATTCTTTAATATTCGTAATTATTATATTTAAATGGCGTGTTAAATAATTGCCAATTCAAAAATATCAAGTTATGGTGCTTTAGCCGGAATTGTAGTGAATCACTGACATCGCGCGCAGACATTGTTTTTAAAAAATTTGTCTTAACATTAATTAATAATCTTTTTATATAAAATTTTAGGCGACTTTTCGATTCACAAAAACGACAACATGTGTGCCGTCGGTACTGTCCGTCGCGGCGCCGACGATATGCTGACCGAACAGCACCTCATCAGTGATGGACAGCCAGTGGTGTCCGAGTGTGAGTACCGGTTAGACAGGGAGTCCATTAAGAAAGAGCTGCATATCCGGGGCTATGAGTACTCCAAAGGGTTTCAGTCGTTGACAAATATGCGGACCAATGACTTCCGTCGGGTGTCGGCGGACATCGAGTGGACGGGAAATATGGTTACATTTTTGGACGGTTTGCTACAAATGACCGGTTGTTTGTTTCCCTTCCGAAAACTCGTGGTCCCCGTAATGATTGACGCCATACGTGTCGACCCGAACACACTTTTCTCGGCGCTGAAGAGCAATCGATTGACCGATGAAATGGTAGTTCACGGCGACTGCCAACAAGTTAGCGGCACTGATACAGTTGGAGCCGACAGTGATCTAAAACCTTACAATTTGACCGAAAGGTTTGCCGTTTTTCGATCTCAACTGCCGCTAGTGTTTGACTCGTGTGTGAATTGTGTGCTCACATACGGGGTTGAAGTGTATAATATGGTCAGCGCTCCCATCGCCAGGAAAACTGATCCCAATTTGGTTTTAGAGAGACATATGTTTATCGCCAATGACGACAATGTGGCCATCAATGACAGGCATAGGAAACTGCTTATTGATAATATTGAAGTTTGTATTACTTAATGCTCTCTCTCTCTCTCTCTCTCTCTCTCTCTCTCTCTCTCATGAAATTATTATTTATTAGGTTTGTAAAGCAGTTATTATCAAAATCCGTAAAATGGGTTTTAAAGAAATGAAATGTGATTTTGATTACAAAAATATAAGCGAAGAAATAATACAAAGTCATAGAAATGCAAACATTGATAATAACGTAATGTTTAAAATTTTGAATAATATTCACGAAACGATTGCTAAACAAAATATTAAACCGAATGATAAACACGTATTAAATGAATTATACAATGAAATGCAATCAAATCATGAATACGATTTAAGCCATGATTTAGTAAATCTGGTGACAAAAAATGAGCGCTTAATCCGATCTATGGTTGAGATAATCGGGGAAAATGTTTTACCCGTAAAACAGATGAAAGTTACGGAAATTAATTTCACTAATGATTTGATGGCAAATCATATCAAACAAACTTTGGTTTACTCTATGTTTATCTGGTCTGATATTGACTACAAACTGATTGTAAAATCTAAACAATTAATACCCGCTTATCTAAAACCCGATGCTTTTGAATGGGATATCAGCGAGAGTTTAATTCTTAAACTAAACCATTTAATTGTCTTAAGATATTCACAACATTTATGGGAATTGGATTTACAAGACTTGATCCAAAACTTGTCGGACGCCATCGAAAGCAATGGATTTCTATTAACAGTATTTCGATATAAAGTGACGGAACCGGAGATCGCATTGAATTCATTGTTTGGGAATTCAGTCACGGATTCAGATCTTGTAAAACGGATCAACTATTTCATGACAAATGCCACTGCAATGGGATTAAGAGTGATATGCAGTAAATGCGATACAATTGGTTCAAAGGCTGTACTCTTCAGGAAAATATCGGAAACAATACTTCCGGACAAACAAAATATAATACAAATTAACGGAAAATGCGAGCAATGGTTTTCAACATTGAAAAATAGACTACTGATGGCCAGTGAATTGGGTGCCGACAGTCCACGGGTTTGGCTCATTGCCAACGACTCGTGTATTAACGGTATAACGGGTTTAGCGAAAAGTTTGCGTTTAGAAAGCAGTGGCGAAAACTTCAGATATATTTTTATTTACGATAACAACACCACAAATACAGACATAGACTTCAATGCGAAGCCATTCCGCGATATATTGGCCAACGATTTGGTGTCAAATGTAATCAGAAATGGAAGACTCGGTTCCTATCGATACCAGAGTTTTGGCAAAGATTTTGATAAAATCCAATCAAATGAGTATTACTTGGGTTTAGGAAAGGGTCGGGACTTGTCGTCACTCGAGTGGACGGACATAACAACCTTTCCCACGACTGATCACTACTACGACGTAACCAATAAGAAGAGACAAATGATTAAAATACAGATCTATTGCTCGGCATTAATCTTTCGGGACGTATTCATAGCCACCGGTAGTTATCATCCCTATAACCAAATGTTAATTAAATTTTATTACAATTTAATGCTATTTTCAGGCAAAATAGCGGCGATTTCAGACATATTTGAGCAACAAATTGGACACGAGTTTGCCGGCCGTCGGGCCGATACCGGGGAACGCGTTATGGGTATAAATAAAGGAAAAAGTGTTGCCACCAGTACTCGTGTGGACCCGTTTTTGTTTACAACAATACCCGACAACTGGTCTATGGAAGAGGCGGTTACTATATTGAGCCCGTATTTTACGGTATGGTATGGACTGATAGAAAGGGGACATATTAGACAAGGTTTGTCAGTATTTTATTTTTAATACATTGTGTAAAACATACAGTATATAAAATCTTACGTTTGACCAACGATGCCCCCTCCCATCCATAGAAAAAGCATTAATTACAATTGATTAATATTATATACTGTATTGATTGATACAATTGTTAACACCTATAGGCGAGAGTATATTAATCCATTCGGCGGCGGGAGGTGTGGGTCAGGCGGCCATCAATGTGTGCCAACACTACGGCTGCGATATATACGCGACGGTCGGCACCGAAGAGAAAAAACAGTTTCTCATAAATACATACAAAATACCGGCGAAAAAGATATTCTCGTCGAGAAGTACTCAATTCAAGAGTCAAGTGATGCGATCGACTGCCGGACGGGGAGTGGATTTGGTGCTCAACTCTTTGGCCGGCGATAAGTTGGACGCCAGCTATGAGTGTGTGGGCACAGGCGGACGGTTTGTGGAGTTGGGAAAAGTGGATTTCTTACAGAACCGAAAGCTCCCGATGTATAACCTATTGAGGGATTTGTGTATTATTGCTGTCAATTTAAATGGAGGTGTCTTAAATCGGGAGTATATTTGGGACGCATTTTATACATGGGTTCACCAGAACTGCATCAATGGTTGCGTAAAACCATTAAATCGGACGGTATTTCCGGCCGATGACGTAGAGAAGGCCTTTCGATACATGACTACCGGTAAACATATCGGGAAAATAGTTATCCGTATTCGTGAAGAGGAGCCAAACCGAAAGCCGTCAACTCATATAAATCCAGCGAATAGTATGAAAGTGCAGACAAAAACATACTTCAATCCAAATAAGATTTATATAATAACCGGAGGTTTGGGTGGATTTGGGTTAGAGTTGTGTCAATGGATGGTATATAACGGGGCGAAGAGATTGGTGTTGACCTCTCGTTCGGGTATTAAAAATGATTACCAAAAATATATTATCAATCGTTTGATTGCCTTTGGAAAAAGACACAACTATTTTGAGAATCAAGTGATAATCTCTTCGGCCGACTGTTTAACTATTGAGAACACAAAACAATTGCTAAATGAGTGCAAAGGGTTGGGCGCACCCATCGGTGGTGTTTTTCATTTGGCTCTCGAGTTAAACAAATGTCTCTTCAGTGAAGTATCTTTCGATACATTCATAAAAACCGTTGACATAAAGGAGAAGATATGCAAGAATTTGGATCAATTGAGCCGAGAATTGGACTATAATTTAGACCATTTTGTGGTGTTTTCTTCCATTGCGTCAGGAATTGGAAATGAGGGCCAAATGAACTATACTTACGGTAACTCTATTTGCGAGCGAATATGCGAACAGAGACAGAGAGACTGCCTGTCGGGTCTGGCCATACAGTTTGGTCCCATCGGTGACGTAGGAGTGATGTCTGATATGACACAAACGTTTGGGTTCACCACAACTCAGAAACAACGGATACATTCGTGTTGTGAAGTATTGGACAAACTATTGGCCGTACAATACCCGGTCGTATCTGTAAACGTATGCATTAAATAATTTATATGCATTTAATTTAACAATAAATATTGTAGTAACATTTCAATTATTATTTATTTGTATTGTTAATAAACAGGTTAAAACAATGGAGAACTCATTGTTGAAACTGGACACTGAGACCAAAGAAGGCTCGAAATCATTCATTAATAAGTTGTGGGGATCTCTTGGTATCGACCCGTCGACCACTCCGGCGGACATCACTTTAGGAGAGATCGGAATTGAGTCCATATTTGCCTCAGAATTACAGCAAGAAATGGGAAAACTCTGTGAACAAACAATTCATTTGAAAATAATTAAACACATGTCTGTCGGACTCCTTCGGGAGTTTGAGTCCGGCGGCGATCACACCATTAAAGCCTACTTTAATGGCATAAAAAGGGCTCAAATATCGCTCTCAAAGTATAAGTTTGTGATTCCTGTGGAAACACACGTCAGACTCAATGGTGTCTCAAACGGAAAGCCATTGTATTTAATGCCGACTCTGGAGATGGGGTTTGCATTGTATGACCATTTGGTCCAATATATTAACCGACCGGTCGTTGGACTCAATTGGACTACAGATGTGAACCAATTGTCGACTTTGAAGGAAGTGATTAAATATTTCACTGATTTGATGGCAAGACTCGAACCAAATGGTGGTTACGATGTGTTGGGATCGACGGACGGAGCGATCATTTGTGGCCAACTCTTACGGAAAGGTTTGGCAGAGAAGGCGGTTATGATTGATGAACACAAAAAATCGTTAAAATCTTCAGAAGACAGACAACGAGTTGTAATTAAAACCGAAGACATTATTACCGAAAAGACTGAAAATACAAGTGTTGGACACAAAACGAGGAACAGATGTGTTAAACGAATGAAGAAATTACCACAAAATACGAGACATAAGAAGCGGAAGAAGGCTTCAGAAGACACACATGTATTGAATGACACGGAGAGTGACAGCACTGGCGATGCTTATGAAGACAACAATAGGGAATCGATCGATAGGGACGGATTCAATGTGTCCACGTCTACGTTCGTGGATCCGACTCCAGAGAAGATCACTCAACTCTGGAACCAAATGGACACACAAACCTCCGGCCGACAGGTATGTCGGTCCGCGCAAAGGGTATGCTCTCCCATACTCTCATTTTCTCATGGATTTTATATCCATTTTATTTCTTTCTCTCTTATTTATTCATTCATTCACTCACTCACACACACCTATCCTCCCATTCCCTCAATACACACAACACATGGATCTCAAACTCACTACACATGTCGTTTCAATGCCGGGTTTTTGGAGAGCGGGTCGGCCGAACCGGATCGGTTGTCCCGCGCTCTAACAATCCGGCTGAATCTCTCCGGTGATGTTCACCCGAACCCCGGCCCCAACCCTACCTCCCAGTGCAATATACTACAGCTAAATATAAATGGCATTCGCAATAAACTCTCAGAACTAATTGATTTTATCTCTAGTCATAACATCCATATTATAGCCCTACAAGAATCTAAGCTAACCGCCCGCATAACTACCCCTAAAATCCCTAACTATTCCCCAATAAGACAGGACAGACCTAATAGTCGTGGTGGCGGTGGTCTCCTAGTCTATGTCCACAACTCTATACCCTATTCTACCCAAACCTCTATACCCAACCTATCTATACCCCTCCCCGCCCAACAACAAACTATTCATTTCTATATAAATAATAAACAGTACACCCTTATTAACCTTTATGTCCCGCCCCCTCCCCAACCCCCATATACTTACTGCCCTGACTTCTCTTCCCTTTCCACTACAAATAACCTTATAATTGTTGGCGATTTAAACGCCCACAACCCTTTCTGGCTGTCATCTCAATCCTCCGACACCAGAGGTTCCCTACTCGACGACCATCTCTCACAACTACCCCTTATTATACTCAACCAAAACTGCCCGACCCGTGTAGCCCCTAATTCTAACCCCACCTCCCCTGACCTAACCATCAGCTCTGCAAACATAGCTACCAGACTTAACTGGCAAACCCTCCCCAAGCTATCATCTGACCACTTACCTATCATTATCTCTCTAACCCTAGCTAGTCCTATCTCCATAAACCCACCCCGATATTATATTAATTTTAAAAAAGCTAACTGGATTCATTTCTCTAAATTAGCTGATGAATATCTAGCTAACTACTCAGCCCTCGACTACCCCTCTATAGACGTCGCCGAAAAAACCCTTCGCTCCCACATTCTCGCCGCCGCTAAGCTTACCATTCCCGCCGGTAGACGTACCACTCATATCCCTTCCTTTACCCCACAAATAAAACAACTAATTAGCCAGAGAGACAGTCTTCGCCGTTCCCTCGCCTCCTCACCCCTCCCCCCATCCCCTGAAGACTCTACCAAACTCTCTGACCTAAACTCCCAAATAAACTCCGAAATCGCTTCTCTAAAGAGGAAGCGATGGCAGGAGTTTACCGAAACCCTATCCCACACTACCTCTCCCCGCCTCCTCTGGAACACTATAAAAGCTATAAATAATAACACCCCTCCTTCCCATGAATCCCTACCCTCTAGTCAAGTCCCTAACCCCAAATCCCAAGCAAATACCCTTATAAAACATTACGCCTCCATTTCCCGCCTCCCCTACGATAAAACTTTCCGCCAAACCTTACGGGCGGTTAAAAACATCCCTCGCACCCCCTTATCTACCCCTTTTATCCCAGAAGAAATCAAAACTACTATAAAATCCCTATCTAATTCTAAAGCCCTTGGTCCCGATTCCCTATCTAATCTACACCTAAAACACCTTGGTCCCATAGCTATTAAAGCTATCACCTCCCTCTTTAACCACTCCCTCCAAACCTCCCAAATACCCACTATATGGAAAGACTCTATAATTATCCCTATTCTAAAACCTAACAAACCCGCCCATTTACCCGCCTCCTATCGTCCCATTTCACTGCTCTCTCCATTGAGCAAACTAATGGAGAAAGCGATAAAACCCCGTATTGAAGAGCACATTCCTTCCCACCCCTCCCAACATGGCTTTAAACCCTTCCTCTCCACCACTACAGCTCTCACTCATATTTCCCAATCCTCCCAAATAGGCTTTAATCAACCCAAACCCCCCACCCGTACCATAATGTTAAACCTAGACCTATCCAAAGCTTTTGACACCGTTCCTATACCTACCCTAATATCTAAACTACTCCTCTCCTCCCTCCCTCCCCTTGAAAAGCGGTGGCTAATCAACTTTCTCAGAGGCAGACGTGGCCGAGTCCGCTACCAAAACAGTCTTAGCGCCCCGAGAAACTTCCGTAACGGTGTCCCTCAGGGCGCTGTCCTTTCCCCCTCTTTATTCAACTTTTTCTGTGCAGACTTTCCTACCCCTCCCCCTCCCCTCCAACTAATTACCTATGCAGATGACATTACCATACTTTCCCCCCATTTCTCTATCACTGAAGCTACAGCTAATTTACAATCCTTTATCCCCTCTATTGAACACTGGTCTACACTAAACAAACTTTATATATCCCCCGAAAAATCTACCTGTACTTTATTCACCCCCGACCCCGCAGAATATTCTTATACCCCTCCTCTTACTATCAACTCTACTCTTATACCCACTGATCCCTACCCTGTAGTTCTTGGTCAACAATTTGACCCAAAACTCACCTCTTCTAATAATACTCGCCGCAAACTTACCAAAACCTCTCGCCGCCTAAACTCCCTAAAAGCCCTCACCTCCTCCACCTGGGGTCAGGACAAAGAATCGCTATCCTTACTCTACAAACAATATATCCGCCCAATACTAGAATATTCATCCCCCGCTTGGTTCCCATCCCTATCCCCCTCTAACCTAAAACTACTCCAAACCCAACAAAACAAAGCCCTTCGCATAATTACCGGGTGTACTCTAATGACACCAATAGACCACTTACACCACGAAACCAAAATTCTTCCCCTTTCTGATCATCTAAATATGATTGGCACCCAATTCTTTGCTAAGCTAACCAACCCCTACCACCCCGCCAATCATCTAACCCTCCCTCCCCCCTGTCCCCGAAATATGAAAACAATTCCCGCCAATCATTACCTCCCCCTACTTCGCTCCCACTCTTCCCAGACATTAGATCCCAGCTCTTCACTCAATACCCACTCTTTACACACAAACTTTGTCCACAACACTATCAACACATTAGCCCCAAACCCTATCCTCCACTGCACTCCCCCTGAAATAAGTCCCACCGAAAAATGCCTTCCCCGCCGGCATCGCACAGCCCTCGCGCAACTGCGATCCGGTTACTCCCCTCTACTCCGTTCATACCTCCACCGTATAAATAAATGCCCCAATGATTTGTGCAGATTCTGCCACATCAGCCCCGAGACAACACAACACATCTTCAACCACTGCCCATCTCTATCACTCATCCGCCTTCGCCACCAAATAACCTTATTTTCCTTATGGAGAGCACCCGAGCGCGCGATCGACTACCTGATAGCCTCAGGGGTACTGTGACTGACACACAGACCTGGAGGAACAGACAACAACAACAACAATAGGGACAACACAGAGACCGGCGATGGAAACAATAAGACAACAGCTGTCACTACAGACAACCCGTTTGTCTGCACTCACGAGTCGTGTGGCCAACGGTTTAATACATCAACGAATCTAAACAAACACGTGTCGGCCATTCACACAACACAGAGACCATATGTTTGCGATTACGACGGCTGCGGCAAATCTTATAACGTACGCCGAACTCTGGCCAACCATCGATCGCTCGTTCACCGGAGGGTTAGACCCGAGACATACGTTTGCGATTACAAGGGATGCGGCAAAGAGTTTAGGCTCCGGTGCAAACTCAGGGAACACGTGAACATAAAACACTCGAGCCGTACCCACCCGTGCACTGTCGACGGCTGCGGACGACTCTTTCGCAACGAATGGAAAGTAACGGAACACTTGAAGATATCTCACGGCAGCCGTAGCTATGAGTGCGCTGTCGACGGATGCGATAAACGGTTCCGATCGGTGTCTATACGCAACGCTCACGTGAAAGTGGTTCACGAGAAGCACATTTACCGGTGCGGTACAGCCGACGGGTGCGGCCAAGTGTTTGATACGTGTCACCAGTTGAAAGCGCATCGCTCTAAAGTGCACCCGAAGCGTGAGTACCGGTGTTCGTGGCCGGGATGTGATTACAAGGCCAGGGATGGCTATCTGATAAAGTCTCATATGGCTGTTCACAGCACCGATAGGCCGCACCCGTGCGAATGGCCCGGTTGTGACTATAGGGCCAAAACCAAACGAAATCTGGTTAACCATCGATTGATCCACACTTGCGATGCGGACCACCCGTGCGATTGGCCCGGATGTGAGTTCCGGTCCAAACGTATGGCCGATTTAAATAGCCATAAACTGACGCACAATACTGACCGCAATCACCCGTGCGTTTGGCCCGACTGTGGGAAATGGTTTAAGAGAGAGACATATCTGCGTAAACATGTGGTCACTCAACACACGGGCCCTGAAATGGTGTGCCATCACAACGGCTGTGGCTTTAAGTCGAGAGATATTCAGTATTTTAACGATCATAAGAAACGAATGCATGAAATATAAATGTTAATAAACTTATTGTTAATTAATAATTATTTATTTATGTAAAAGAATATAAATTTTTAATTAAATTGCATTAAAACATTTATAATTGATTAAAAGTAACTAAAACTTTGGTATATTTAAAAGTCCCGCGTTTTGAGTGCACTTTCACTGCAATACACGACGTATTGAATGCTTTTGTAAACAAAGTTTTTGACTCAAAAACACTTGAGATTTGTTTCACAATTGAATTGATTTTGAATTATATTTATTAATAATTCAATGAATTTGTGGTAAGAAATGTCTGAATTAGTGATCAATGATTTGATCCAAGAGTTGAGTGAAGAAAATACAAGACTTTTGAGTGAATTATTGTTTTTGAATCAATGTTTTGATGTCTTAAATGAGTTTCAAATATATTTGAATAAAATATTGAGTTTTAAGACAATTCTGAAAGATTTGAATCACTTATCACTCGAAGACATCCAAAGACTGGAAGTATTGGACAACAAATTCAATGTCATTATCACTGAAACGGCCGCTCATTATCACCAGAAATCGCAGATCTCTTCCAAAGGCAATGAAGTGCCGGAAGAGACCGAAGATGTGATAATAACGGCAGACATTGACAACACATCCAATGATTTTGATTTCATGAGTGAAAGACAGACACAAATGACACCAAAGAGTCTGCCATTGAATGCATCGACAGATGTGTTGACACAACACAACACAACCCAAACAAATGCACACTTCATAACACTTCCAATGCTTTTGTGTCCCGTCTCTGGTTGTGGTCTAACATTCATTACTCAAGAGTTTCTCGACATTCATCTCCGGAAACACACTTCGAGGACATCACCGCCAAAGACGAAGAACTCAGAGAAGACTAGATATAGAAACACAGCGGAAGCCCTGCGGCCACACGTGTGTCCGACATGTGGGCAAAGGTTTAAACTGTTGAGATATATGACTGAACACATCCAGTGTTTCCACACTCGGGCCGCAATTGACCGGCCGTTCATCTGTCAGTACGACGGGTGCGGCAAACGATGGCCAACGAAACTGAGGCTTTTGGGACACATCTCAACGGCGCATAAAAGACAGAACACAAGCGGCAAAACAGTCCGTAAAATAGCGGACACCGAGAGCTCCACCACTGATTCCGACGATAATACTTGCGATGGACTTGAAATGAGTGATCGCCGCGCGAAACGAGCGAAGGACTCATCACAACATTCAACGCTTGAAATGATGTCTGAAACGGATCCACACGTATTGAATACGGATAGTGACGGTAGCGATACAGTCACATCACCGCCGAAGAAGAAGCAGAAGAATTCAGAGAAGAGTAGATATAGAAACACAGCGGAATACCTGCGGCCACACGTGTGTCCGACATGTGGGCAAAGGTTTAAGCTGTTGAGGTATATGACTGAACACATCCAGTGTTTCCACACTCGGGCCGCAATTGACCGGCCATTCATCTGTCAGTACGACGGGTGCGGCAAACGATGGCCAACGAAACTGAGGCTTTTGGGACACATCTCAACGGCGCATAAAAAACAGGACACAACCGGCAAAAGAGTCCGTAATATAGCGGACACCGAGAGCTCGACCACTCATTCCGACGATAATACTTGCGATGGACTTGAAATGAGTGATAGCCAAGAGTTTCGCGACATTCATCTCCAGAAACACACTTCACGGACATCACCGGCGAAGAAGAAGAAGAAGAACTCAGAGAAGACTAGATATCGAAACACAGCTGAAGACCTTGTACTGCGGCCACACGTGTGTCCGACATGTGGGCGAAGGTTTAAGCTGTTGAGATATATGACTGAACACATCCAGTGTTTCCACACTCGGGCGGCAGTCGACCTGCCATTCATCTGTCAGTACGACGGGTGCGGCAAACGATGGCCATCGAAACTGCGGCTTTTGGTACACATCTCAGGTTTCCATAAAAAACGGGACACAACCGGCAAAACAGTCCGTAAGATAGCGGACACCGAGAGCTGCCAATTCGCGTGCCCTCACGAGTCGTGTGGCAAAGCATTTCGTTTGGCACGTTATCTTCGGACACACATGAAATGTGTCCACAGAGCCACCGCTGACCAACTTCTTGAGATCATGAACAGGTATCAGAAGGTTGTGGTCAGACGTGAGTTTCGACCGCACAATAAGTTGGACACCACCGGACCTCTGCAGCTGTTTATGTGTCCCGAATCGACCTGTACTAAGCGGTTTCGGCTCCGGCAGTCCCTCAGAGAGCACATCCAGAAGATTCATTCCGCGGACACAGAGTTTGTGTGCGATCACGTGGGCTGCGGCACCGTATGGCCAACTGCTCGCCGCTTATTGATACACAAATACTCGCACAAGACATCGGCCGACAAGAAGCCTGACCTCACGGCTAAGGCCAGCGGTAGTGTTAGTATTGCAGACAAACTCATCGAATCGGTTCAATCAAAGGACAAACTATTCAATTGTTGTGTCCCGGACTGCGACCAACAGTTCCCATCGTATCATCACTTGAGCCAACACATGGCCGGCGATCATAAACTGGAAGTAAAGTCCTTTGTGTGCGAGACCTGTGGCCGACATTTTAAGGCCAAAAATCACCTCAAAGAACACGTGTTGACGATTCACTCGATGGAGAGGCCGTACGTGTGTCCGCTCGAAGACTGCGGCAAGACTTGGCCGACGGCTACCCGATTGGCGGGACATATGCTATGGCACCGGCGGGTGAAGGCGGTGGCGGCGCCGCCCGAATGGGAGCATAAAACCAGACAATTTGTCTGCGTTTACCAACCGTGTCAGCAAAAGTTCCCGACCGAAGCGGACTTCGAGGCGCACGTGAACGCCGAGCACTTGCCGTTCGGGTGCCAACACGACGGGTGCGGCAGCCGATGGCCCACCGCTGTCCGGCTGGCCATTCACACGACGGTCGCTCACTGTCCGGTGCGTAAGGCGAACCAAGTGGGGCCCTTCACGTGCCACTACTCCCAGTGCGCCGGCAAAGAGTTCAAGACAACGCGCACACTCAGCGATCACGTGCGGATGAGTCACGCGGGCGACGCGCGCCCATACGTATGCGATTACGTCGGGTGCGGCAAACGGTGGCCAATCCGTAGTCTACTCATGACTCACGTGAAACAGGCGCACGTTAGGGGCGGCTTCCGGTGCCCGCACGTGGGCTGCGACCTCGTGTTCGACACCGACCACACCATGAAATACCATCGCATCAAAGCGCACAGCTCTGTAGACCACTCGTGCCATTGGCCCGGCTGTGAGTATACGAACAAATCGCGACGTCTGGTCACTCTACACTCGGCGGTTCACCGCACGGAACTGCCCTACGTGTGCGAATGGCCCGGATGTGAGTATAAGGCCAAGTACTTGCGGTCGCTGAAGTCCCATCGATACTCGCACAGCACCGACTATAACATGCCGTGCGATTGGCCCGAGTGTGGCAAGAAGTTCAAGACTAATGCCGATCTGAAGCAACACATGCTCATCCATAACGGAGCGCTCATACCGTGCGGTCATCCCGGGTGTCAGTACAAGACCTCCAATAAAAGCAACTTAAAGGGTCATAAGAAACGATTGCATGGATTGGTTGATTGAATTGTTTATCTATGAACTCATTTATTAAATTAATCTCATTTTTAATCCACTGATTGTTTGAAGTTTTTTTTGTGGATGTAATTAGTATTTACTTAAAATTGATTTTATTTTTTGGTGTCATTAATGAAATTGTATTATTTTGTTCGTAAATAAAGTTTATTTTCCAAACAATTTATGTGTTTATTATACGCTTCTCAAGAAGTGAGAGGTGATGACAGTGTCTAACCTCCATGTGTCTGATCTGTCACTGATTTGATCCCCAATTGATCACAATCTTAGAGATCAGTCTTAAGACTTTCAACACTTACACCAGATTTTGTGTACGTTTTCTATGGACTGATAATTGGTTTGTTTACCAAAAAATATTTTTTATTACAGTTTGTGTTATAAACTGTAAAACTCGTGTGAAATGCAATTAAAAGCGTGTTTTAATTGTTTGTAATTAAATGTCATTTAATATTAATTATCAATGAATTGATTACTGAATGAATTTGTGGCCAAAAACATGTCTCAATTAGTGATCAATGATTTGGTGGAGGAGTTGTATGAAGAAAACCAAAGACTTGTGAATGTGTTGTCAATTGAGAGACAATTAGTTGAAGTTTTGGATCAAATGAGAGACAAGTCATTGGTTTTGATAAATAAGTGTAAATGCGATACAAATGAAGGGTTAATACAAACCATACATCAACTCAACAGACAATACGAGACAATCAGTGGTCGACCCAAACCTCATGACATCGACGACAACACGAGTAAAGTTACCACCGATGAGATCATTAATACCGCGAGTAAGCATCAGTTGTCGATACAAACTGTGGACACATCCAGTAGTAAATCAATTGATTGTTTTGTAATTAAAACTAATTATTTAAACATTTTTAGCTCAAACGGATAGTCAAAGACCTAATGATATACCGGTTTTGCAATCAAATTGTCGGCCATTGAGTGACGCAAATGGACATCACTTTTACGATTTAATTACTGGTAATTATCTGCAGAGAGAGAGAGAGAGAGAGAGAGAGAGAGAGAGAGAGAGAGAGAGAGAGAGAGAGAGAGAGAGA